ATAAGAATGATAACAACAGCAAAGTCAACGCCTTCCGTGCAGGATTTTTGTCTATATTCGATAACATACTCCGGGGAATAACAAGCCCGTAACCTCCCCCCTCCACGGCCGATCTGCCTCACTGTCCTGTCCTTAGACCGACAGCACCGCAAACAGACCTACCGCGTCTCCTTCCCCCCGCTCCGCACCTCCCGCTCCAACACATCCAACGCCTCCGCATACCGCTTGCGCGCCTCCTTCATCCCCTCCAGACTGACAGCCACCCGGTGCATTTTCTGCGGGACGGCTCCACCACCGCCACCACCACCGCCACGCACGATCTTCCCGTCCGCTGCGCCGCCGATCTGCTGCGCGAACCACTTGCCCTCGCGGTGGGCGACGAGCGTGTAGGCCTGCCCCAGCAGGCCGGCGCGCGCCGTGCGGCCCACGCGGTGCACGTAGGTCGTCACGCTGGTCGGCACGTCGTAGTTGACCACGTGCGTCAGGCGGGGCAGGTCCAGGCCGCGCGAGGCGCGGTCCGTCGCGATGATGATCGATAGCTTGCCGCGGCGGTAGGCGGTCAGCGTCTTGCGCGAGGCCGAGGATTTGTTGGACTTGATGATCGTGCCTGTGCGGGAGGCGAGGGTCGGGTCTAGAAGCGCGAGCAGGCGCGCGAGACGCGAGGCGGATTCGGAGGATTTGGTGAAGATGAGAACGGTCGGCGTGTTTGTTTGTGTGTTGGAGGGGCGGGGGCGAGTGGGTTTGGTTGGGGAGGTGGAGCTGTCGCTGTTGCTGTCGCTGTCGCTGTCGGATTCGCTGTCCGAAGAACTCGAAGAATCAGACTCGCTGTCAGAGGTGTCGTCTGAATCGGAGTCCGAGCCTGAACTGGATGTGTCCGAGTCGGAGTCTGTGTCCGAATCCGAGTCTGAATCGTCCGAGCTGGACTCGTCCGAGGAGGTTTCTTCGTCGGAGGATGTTTCGTCGGAGGTATCGTCCGAAGTAACCGAATCGGAGGCTTTGGCCGGTTGTTTGGTGCCGTTGATTCGGATGTGGGAGAGGAGGAGGCGCAGCAGGTAGAGTGGCTTCAGGGATCCATCGCCCACCGAGATCGAGTGCTCCTTCAAGGTCGGCGGCAGGGTGAACTGCTCGTCGGCGCCGGCGATCACGCCACTCTCGTCGTCGCCGACGGCGGCGGTTTCGGTGGAACCCACAATGACGAGCTTGGGGTTGGCGAGTCGGAGAGAATTCAACTTGGTCACGTCCCGGGTCATGGTCGCACTCAGAACCACCTTCCTTGGCTCTCTGCTGTGGATCGGGAGGCCCAGCTCCGACAGGAAAGTCCCGCTGAAGCCGAACGCCTCGGGGGATCGGCGCGCATCCAGCGAATTCATGACCACGTCAACCCATTCTTGGAAGCTCTCGTTGAGCAACCGATCAGCCTCGTCGATCACGAGCCACTCCAAGTGTTTCAGCGTAAAGCCTTTGGTGTAGCGGATGTGGTCGACAAGTCGACCCGGGGTACAGATGAGGATGTCAACGTTCGGTTCCGAACGGTGCACGTATCCCGGCAGAGCCTCGCTCGAATCCACCGCATCGGAGATATATTCCTGCAAGTTGAAGTTGGTCCAGTCGTCCCCGGTCATTTTCACGTTCTGGCGGCGCTGGAACGTCGCGGGCCCGTACACCTGGTCGATGCGCATCAACGAGCGCTGCTCGTCCTTGATGGCTACGTTACCCACAGCCGATCCCACCCGCAGGCCGGAGCCAGCAGCACACAGCTCACACGCCTCGCGGGCCTGCTTCACCAGTTCTCGGGTTGGCACGACAATGAGACCCCGCAGCCGAGGGGCAGGGATCTGCTCAAGCGCGGTGACGAGCGGTAGAACGTAAGATAGGGTCTTTCCGGAGCCCGTGGCTGCAGAGACACAGACATCGCCGGCGTGGTTCTTAGGACCCTGGAGTAGCAGAGGAATGACTGCCGACTGCACAGCAAACGCTTCCTTGTAGCCATTATCCTCCAATACCCGCAGCAGGTTCGCATTAATCCCCAATTCAGAGAACTTCGTCTTCTCGGTCGCCGAGGTCCGCAAGGGATTGGCCAACCAGGCCGGAAGCGACGAGTATGTAGGCTTCTCAAACACCTCAGGGACTTGCTCAGGCTGTGGTAGAGGTTCCAAGCCTTGCGCTACCACTGGTTCAGCCGTCAACAGTCCTGTAGAGTCGTCTTCAACCGTATCCTTCTTGCGTGCTTTTTCCAGCTCTCTCGCCTTCATAGACTTTTCGAACTTCGACCTGATGCCCGCAAACTTGTCCTTCTGTTTCGCATCGCCGTCATCGGCCTGAGTAGATTCTGAAGCCTGGGCAGACTTCTTTGAGTCCTTGGTGCTCTTCTCTTCAACATCGACTAGATTCGCAGGTTCCTCAGCCGATTCAATAGCAGTTCCTGATGTCCGTCGCTTCGAGTGCTTCGATTTCTTCTTGTCTTTAGCGTCCTTGCTTGGAGTAGGCGCTTCGCTGCGGATCGACGAGACAGCACTCTCCTTCGGGGTCGATACTTCCGGAACAGCACCGTCGGCCGCCCCCGTGGATCGCTTTCTCTTCTTGTGGACGTCGGAGGACGGGGTGGAGTCGGCCGCAGCACCCGGATCTTTCTTGGATTTCTTGGTCGGCGTGGGTGTCGAGGTAGCGACGGTGGAGCCATCGAGGTCTCTCTTCCTCTTGTGAGACTTCTTGGTGCTCGACGGGGTTCCTGAGCTCATGTGGGACGTATCCTGACGCGCGGAGCGGTCGCCGGCCATGATCGCGAGGTCAAAAGGGGTCCTGGGCGGACGTTCGAAGAGGGGTGTTTGGGGAAATGCGGCGATCTTGCCTGTTGTTGCGAGTCTTTCTTTTTTCCAGCGGGGAATCTTTGAGGCGGCAGAACGGCACACCGCCTCCACCGCCGCCCGCGCGTGGCCCTCTCGGGATGGCCTCATTCGACCTCCTTTCTCCTCCTGTCGCCCACACAAACCTCCCTTTTTTGTGGATTGGACGTGGTGACTGAGTGTGATATGGACGGTGGGTGAGCGGATTGGATTGACAACCGCGCAGAGTCTCTCGAAGTTAGCTCAGGGCCAGCCGCAGCCATGCCTTACAATATTGCGTGAGTCCCGTCGCATGTGGTTCTCGGAGCGAGTCTAATGGTCTGCACAGTATGGTCAGTGACTTCTTCTTCCCCCAACCAGGTAGGCATACTGCCCTTCAACTGTCTGGCCTTATACTGACATGCTGAGATTTATAGGTGGGGTGGAAAGTCACATCTACCAGCTCTCGACCGTAAGCGACTATACTTCATCCCTACCCTCCATGATGGTCTACTCACCAGCCAACAGAAGCTCATCGATCGCGGACATAAAGTCATCATCATCACACATGCGTACAAAGGGCGGACCGGGGTACGATACTTGACAAATGGGCTCAAAGTTTACCATGTCCCATTCTTTGTGATCCACCGGGAGTCGACCATGCCGACGGTCTTCTCTTTCTTTCCAATCTTCCGCAACATTGTCATCCGCGAGCAGATCCAGATCGTCCATGGTCATGCGAGCTTGAGTAGCTTCTGTCATGAGGCCATTCTTCATGCGCGCACCATGGGTCTGCGGACAGTGTTCACTGACCATTCGCTGTTTGGCTTTGCGGATGCGGCATCCATCTTGACCAACAAATTGCTCAAGTTCATCCTAAGTGACGTTGACCACGTCATTTGTGTCAGTCATACTTGGTAAGTACTTGATCGCAGTGTCTTCCAGAAAGCCCCGACTGACCTGCGCGCAGTAAAGAGAATACAGTCCTTCGAGCCTCCCTGGACCCGCTGATGGTGTCTGTGATCCCAAACGCAGTGGTGGCTGAGAACTTCCGGCCGGCAGAACCGCGGTCCATGAAACCCATCGGCCCCAATGATACCATCACGATCGTCGTCATTTCCCGTCTCTTCTACAATAAGGGTACCGATCTGCTCATCGCAGCTATCCCGAGAATCCTCGCGTCGCACCCGAATGTACGGTTCATTATTGCGGGGTCCGGCCCCAAGGCGATCGATCTGGAGCAGATGTTGGAGCGCAACGTGTTGCAGGACAAGGTTGAAATGCTGGGACCGGTCCGGCACGAGGAAGTTCGAGACGTCATGGTCCGTGGCCACATCTACCTCCACCCCAGCTTGACCGAAGCCTTTGGTACTGTCATAGTCGAGGCCGCCAGCTGTGGACTGTACGTGGTGTGCACACGAGTGGGTGGTATCCCCGAGGTGCTGCCTCAGCACATGACGACATTCTCAAAGCCTGAGGAGGACGATATTGTTCTAGCAACTGGAAAGGCCATCGCTGCCTTGCGGTCGAACAAGGTGAGGACGGACCGGTTCCATGATCAAGTGAAGATGATGTATTCCTGGACCGACGTTGCCCAGCGCACCGAGCGAGTCTACCAGGGGATCTCCGGGGATATCAGCCCGGAGGAGTTTTACGGATACTACCCGGGCGAGGGTCTGGAGGCTAGCGGGGACCGTGTGCGGAGCTTCGCGCTGATCGACCGGCTGAAACGATACTATGGATGCGGTGTGTGGGCAGGCAAGCTCTTCTGTCTGTGCGTGGTGATTGACTTTCTTCTCTACGCCTTTTTGGAGATGTGGTTCCCGCGGGCGAACATCGATATTGCACGCAGCTGGCCGAAGAAAATACACCAACAGAACGACAACCACTCACTAGGGAACGAGCAGAAGAATGACCGCGAGCGCCTACATGCAAACTGACCAAGTCTTACCCTTCTTCATAATACCCATTTATTCACCATTGGCGATCTACATTTTTACTACAGTGTATAGACACCCTTCAGATACCCTTCATGACAAGCATCATTGAATTCTTCTCATCAAATTAATCATACATGAGCATTCGTGGGAAGCCTTCTCGCTCGAAAAAAAAACAGGTTCCTTTTGTGTCCATAAGAGATTCACCAGGGTCCAGCCCCGACAATTTGTGAAAGAAGACTCAGTGCTTGTGGGTGTTGTCCCGCTTGGTGCCGGGCTCATACTTCCACTCTGCGGCTGCGGTGGTAGCGGGCTCGGGCTGGCGGTCCTCTGCCGCGAGAGCACCCTTGTCGCCGCGCGGGCCGGCGAGGTGGGCCTCGTCGCGGTCGAGCGCCCGCTGGCCGGGGATGTCACGCTCGAGCTTGCTGTCGGCGTGGGCGCCGACCTGCTCGAGGCCGGCGGACTGGCCCTTGCGGCCTGGCTGGCCGTCGTGACGCAGCTCGGCGCTGGACTGGCCGGAGCCCGGGTGGCCCAGGCCGGTGTGTACGTCCCGCGAGGTGGCGCCCATCAGGGTGTCGGCGGCGGAGGTCTTGACGGACTCCTTGCCGTGGCTCCGCTCGACGTTGGGGTTCAGGGCCTGGCCGCCGACCTCGCTGGTGGTGTTGGCGCTGTAGGAGTTTGAGGCGGGCGCCGTGCCGGCCGGGTATGTCTCGGCGCGGAACTCCGGGGCGAAGTCGGCGGGCGCGACCTTGCGGCCGGGTTGGTGCTACACTGTCTGTCAGATTCGATGCTCAGATCTGGAGTTATAGACGGCGGAGGAAAGACATACCCCTCCCTCCTCGAGAGGGCCGCTAGGCTTAACGGAGGGCTTGAACTCGCCCTGCTGGGGGTTGGCAACGGAGTCGGGGTTGCTGAAGTGGCTCATTTTGGATGGTGTGTTGGTATAGACTCAAAACAAGATAAAGGAAAAAGGTAGCGTCGCGTGATTCGTGGGCGGATCGTAGAGTATTCTGGAATAGGACTCTAATTGATTTTCAAAGATTCTAGCTCTCGCATGGACAGACGCACCTTATAAGTAGGGGGGAGGGGGGGATGAAAGCTACACAGCAGGTAAAGTTAGGGCTTCCGCGGGCGGCGGGAAGGGAGGAGGGGGGGTTTACGTCAAGATGACTTCGACTGACTTCATCTCTCTCACCTACCCTCCCCTCCCATCTCCTCCCGGGAGCCCCTTGAGTATCCAGGATAACGTCATGCAATGCATGGATTGCATACCACTTGACGGGTCTGGACTTTTGTGTACTGGGTTTTTTTTCGGAAAGGGCCGGTTTTGGGTGGTTGTGCGGATTAGCATGTTTGATGAGATATGTGTACGTCGATCGGATGAGTATGCTCCGTGAGTATTGATGATGTGAGTTGTGTGTTATGTTGTGGGTTGATCATTCTATGTGAGACGGTTGATCGGTGCCTGATGATGTAGGTGAGGTGAGGTGAGGTGAGGTGAGGCCTTTCAACCTTCCACAAGTCTACTTCTTCTTGTATCTTGTTCTATTGACCGATGCGATAAGGTGACTGGCTATCTATGCACATGGGAATTTTAACAAATATCATCAAGAATCACACAAAAGCAAAATCATTTCAATCAGGATAGGTATCTTTGCATAAACACGATGCTCCCCCGACGCCGAACGACAAGACAAAAATATTTCCAAGGGCGGGATTTCCCACCGGAGGTGCGGATTATAGGTTGAGGGCAGTGTAATGATTGAGTCGCTCCAGAGAGAAGACAATCACCGCATCACTGGCGGCCGCCCCTCCTTATTCCACTTGACCCGACTCTGCACCCACTCCACCGCCTCCTGCACGCCGGACCCCATCAGCGCACTCACCGGCAGCACGCGGCTGTCGCGCACGCCCGCCCCGGACTCACCCTCGAAGACCTTGCGCACGAACCCTTCCTTGATGCGGACGACCTCGACCGAGTCCTCGCGGTCCTGCTTGTTGGCCAGCACCAGGATGGGCACCCCGGCGACGTCCGCGTGCTTCAGCACCGACTCCAGCACCTGCCGGCACTCGTCCAGCCGCCCGAAGTCGCTCCCGGGGGCGTTGATCCCGACATTCTCGGCTGTGAAGGTCACGTTCGTCGGGGAGGTGGATCCGAGGTCACCGCCCTCCTCGTCCTCGTCCTCGTCCTCATCGTCTGCAGCTGCAGCTGCAGCTGCCGTTGCCGTCTTGCTGCCGTCATCGCCAACAGCGGCAACGCCCCCGCTCGCGCGCCGCCGCTGCGGGAGCCGCGTGATGTCCGGGTCCTGGCCGACGTCGGCGCTGTCGACGACGAAGATGATGGCGTGGCAGCTGGCGTAGTAGCTCTGCCAGAGGTTGCGCATGGAGATCTGGCCGCCCACGTCCCAAATCTTCAGGTACATGTCCGGCAGCGAGATGGTGGCGACGTTCTGGCCGACGGTGGGGACGGTCTTGCCGATGCTGGCGGGGAGGAGCGAGGCCGGGAGGCTGCCATCGGCGCGCGGGGGCTGGTAGAGCGCTTTGATCTGGGAGAGGAGGGTGGTTTTGCCGGCGTTGTCGAGGCCGAGGAGGAGGACGGAGTATTCTGGTTGTGGATTTTTTATCAGAATCTGGACGTGGCGACTGGAGAGAAGCGGGGGAAGGAAGCATGCTCACCCTCTTTACTCGTAGCGTACATGTACAGCGACTTGGCGAGGTGATACATGGTGTGATTGGGTGGGGGGGGGGGGGTTGCAACAACCCCTCCGAAAGATCCGGATTAAGTTGGATGGGAGATGAGTCGCGGAGTGTCGATCATGTCATGGCAGCGTCGTGGTGGTGCGAGATGCGCTCTTCTCCTTCCTGTCTTTCTCTTTCTCCGCTGGGGTCCTGCTTATCGTCAACTGGAAGGCGAGGGCGAAGCCAATGCGGGAAGGGAGGCTCCGCGTCAGCCTAGCCTGTCTGTCCGTTCCGTCCTCCGTCCTGAAGTGGTAAGCAGGGCTTGGGTCATTGCCCTGAGCCCTAATTGCCCGAAGCGTTGACCCCGCAGAGGAACTTAACCGGCATGTGAAATGCAGGGTCGATCCGTTGCCTGTCAGTGGAAGAAAGAGACACTACTCGTACTTAGATGATGCAGGAGGCAACCTGCAGGCGCGGTTTTCTGTTATTATCATCAGGAGATGGTCATGACACACTGAATGGTGTGATTTTGGAGTTGGTGGTGGTAGTTACTCAGTATAAGAAGTCAAGAACAATGGCCGAACATCTTCAACTTCTCCTTCTATACTTCCCGATGCATCTTTCTTCCTTGTTTTCCAACCCCAGGTTCATCTCACTCTCTCAAAGCCGATTTCCTTGGCTGGGCGGGGGCGGAACCACGGCCGGGTCATGATTACATATTCTCATCGTATTTCTAGAAATATTCCCCGATTACGGCCAAATCCCGACTTCTCCTCCAACGGTGTTTTGTCAGCGAAAATCGAACGGTCCCATTGTCCGCCTGCGGAATCGCCCTCCTCCTCCTCCTCCCCCCAATCCCTCTTCTTCTTTTCTCTCACCATCCTCTTTCCTTTCTTCTATCTTTCTCCTCCAGCTCTTCTCATGTAACGGCCGCTCGATGGCCTTCCGCTCGGCATCTGTCTGCTTTTCCGCTGGGATCCACTGATCGCATTCCCCGCGCATGTCTCCGTCAGCATGCCCCGCGCTGGATGGGCGGCCGGCGGTCTCCCAGCGGCCTTCAATGGATAGCACTGACACCATCATTGTCGGTATGTCGTCATTTACATCCTCGCTCCTCGCAATTGGACCTTCCGTATGACACCAGGCAACTCTAATCCTCCTCCAGGGAACGGCCCGTCAGCCATGATCCTGTCCTACATCTTCCATGGTCATATTCCCTACTATCAAGCCGATCCGCCGCACCCGGATCCCCTGCTGCATGCCAAGCTGCTGCAGAAACCGGCCCTGCTTCAGGCCGACGTGAACAAGCTGACTGAGCATTTTGCCGCCTCGCGCTTGTCCTACTCGACCCAGGCCCTGCCGGTCAATGTGCTCCTCGACACCCTGGTGCGACCCAGTCTGGACGTCGAGGAGCTGGAGTGCGTCACCAACGTCGAATGGCGGTACGAGCCTGAAAAGGCCGTGCCTCATTTGGTGTTTGGCGACGCCGCGTGCGCTGGCGGTCAATGGACCGAGAATCCCATGCCTGCGAGCTGGGACATCCAGACCCTGAGCTATGCATCGATGTTGTCGCTGCCGGGGTATTCGTTCGCCGACCACCACCGTGCAGTGACCGGGAAGGATCTGCCGGAATTTACGCGGCCCAGCCGGCAGGAGACGGCGGATTACTTCCGTCGGTATCCCGGGGCCGTGCACATCGGCGATGTCTTCCGCTTCAACGAAACCCTGTCGGGGATCTCGCGCACGGACCAGGGCTTCTATATCCGCTCCCACAATCTCCATTGTAAACACCTGGTCCTGGCCACGGGGATCTTCACCGAGGTGCTGCAGCCGAGTCCACTGCTGCAGCCCTTGCGGTCCCTCGAACCGGTCCCCTCCATCCCGTTGCTGGTGATCGGCTCGGGATTCTCTGCGGCCGATGTCATCATCTCCGCCCCTAAGGATCAAAAGATCTTGCATGCCTTCAGGTGGGATCCAGAAGGCCGGCCATCTCCTCTACGGGGCTGTCATCACCAGGCTTACCCGGAATATGCCGGAGTGTACCGTTTGATGAAACGGGCGGCGTTGGCGGCGGCCCCAGCACCGCCCAAACGGGGCAAGATGCGACGGACGACGTCAACGCCGTTTCTAGAATCGCGGAAATGGGACGACGTCTACGAGGGTCTTCCCAATCTGGAGATTGTCAACGTCGAGATGGAGGCCGACCAGGCGCTCGTCACGTTCCGTCAGCCCGACGGGCCAACCTTCGTCCGTGCTATTCGTGGGCTGGTCTATGCCACGGGCCGTCGCGGTACACTGAAGTATCTCGATCCTTCTCTGCTCGCGGAAGTCTTGGGTCGCACAGACGCGGACTCGATTGTCACCAACCAGACTCTACGTGACAAAGCACTCAATGACATGGAGGTGGCGCCGGATGTCTTCGTCATTGGGAGTTTGACCGGAGACTCTCTGATCCGGTTCTCCTACGGGAGCTGCGTCCAGGCGGCAGGCAAGGTCATCGGAGCGTCAACGGGACAGGACTGGGTTTGGAACAGCTCGGCTCATACCTCGCGTCCATCCTCGTCCTCCGTGGGGGTTCTGCGGGGGCTTGACGGACATGACGTCTATCCGGCCGGGGCAACTTGGTCCCAGGGCGACGAGGATCGATCGGTGTTATATACGATCCCGGAGCGGATCTTGCCCGGCGGACTATGGAAATGGCTCCGAAAATGGTGGAATGTGAATTGATATGGGTATGGTGTACATGATAAGATCTTATGTACAAAGGCCATAGATCTGGCCACGGATTGCACTGTTTATAATAGACATGATCTACTGCGTAGATTGCATATAGCTGTGGCGGTTTATAAAGCCAGAGATATGATACTTGCTCAAACTTGAATATATGAATATCTAGTATCATAACATGTGTGACTGCTGAGAATATCACCCATATACATCAACCCCACTCAACCCATAATCTGCAACTGGTCGTCCGGCGGCCATCGGGTCTGAGCGAAGCTGAGACACCGCTTGATACTCTGGAGATACTTGCGGGTGCTCTCGTCGCTCAGAATATGGGCCTGCTGATCACTCTGATGCAGCTTCTCACGCGCCGAACGCTCGTGGATACCCACCATGGTCACACCGATGGGCCACGCACTGCCAACATCGACTCGTTAGCCAACATTCCAACCTGTGAAAAAGAAGAAAGAAAAGGGACATGGAACATACGCTTTCCCAATACTCAACCGCAAATACGCATCATTAGCATCGACATAGCGACGCAGCTGCGCCTTGTGCACGATCTCGACGACATGCTCCAAGACGCCGGCATCGAGATCGCCCTTCTCGAACTTGCGGAACAGCGGCTTCATATTCTCGCGCGACTGCACCATGGCGTTAAACGCCTGCCGGCCCTGCAGACTCTGCTTGACCGAGACATCGCGGTTCGCCAGCGCGGCCTCCCACTCCTTCAAGACCATAGTGAAATACGAGGCCAGCTGGCGGAACAGAAACTTTTTGCTGGCATCATCCTTCGGGACTGTCGCGGGGATCTTCATCTCCACCTCGGGCACGAGCTCCAGCGTCGTGGGGATCGGCCCGTCCGTCCACTTCTGTCGCTGCACCGCCTCGCCATCAGGCCGGTGGTCATCCTTCCGCACCACCCGCCAGTACCGTCGCGCGCGCGCCTTCTCCCCCTCCCCGAAGAGCGTCACCGGCTCCCCCAGCTCCCGCAACCGCTGCTTCACCTCCTCCACCGAGAGCGCCTCTTCCCCTGGCCCTGGCCCTGCCCCCGCCCCCGTGGCAACCTCCTCCCCCTCTGAGGGAGTTGACTCGGGCAGCCCCAGCCGCCGCCTCCTCTCCCGCTCGCGCAGGGCATCCTCCTCCTCCTGCCGCCGGCGCGACTCCTCGGCCAGCCGCCGCTTCTTGTCCTCGCGCTCGCGCCGGCGCGCGGCCTCCTCGTCCTCGGCCTTGCGCTTCTGGGCGTGGCGGGCGGCGCGCTCGGCGGCCAGGCGGGCTTGTTCCTCGTTGTAGGCGGCCAGGCGGGCGGCTTCGAGGTCGGCGCGGCGGGTGTATTTCTTCGGTTCGCTCGATGTCGTGGGAGTGGGTGATGGGGAGGGGGTTTGGGGGTTGGCGCTGGCTTTGGCCTTGGAGATTTCTTTGGACATTAAGGCAGCGAAGTCCATTTCTGCGGTCGGGGACGAATGTTCATGCGTGAGTGGATGTGTGTTGTTTGGGACGAAGGGAGGGAGGTAAGGTTAGAGAGTATGAGTATGGGCTTGGAGGTGTTGGAGAAGGTTGTAGTTAGACGATAAGATTAACTAGTACCTACGGTATTGCCGCTGCGGGCGGCGGTGATCTAGGAGGGCGGTCGGGCGGTCGGGCGGCCAGGGCAGGGCGGAGAGTTACCTACCTGCAAGCTACAAGTTCCGCGCTTCCACGGCTCTCGCTCTCCATGCTACACCCACCTACCTACCTACCTCTGCCTTACCTTACCTTACCTTACTTCAACTCCAACTCCAACAACTCCAATAACAGCAACAACACAACCACCAGTCCACCCTCCACTCGAAGCCACACCACCAACCACGCCGACCAAAGCATGACCAACAACTAAGTAGCAACTAACAACCACCCAACCCCTACCAAAGAACCAACGCTGCCAGAAACCCGCCAAAATGTCAATGTCCCGCCAAACCACAACCCCCTTCCACCTCAAACTCTTCTACCGCCAATCCACCTACCACCCTCTATCGGACTTCTCCCCGGCCAGCGCCAACCCCGCCGGCCGCAGCGGCGGCCATCTCCCCGCCCACCACCTCCAAATCTACACCTGGCCGAGCTGCTCGCTCCGCGAACTCGCCCACCTCCTGACCTCGACCCTGCCCCACCTCCTCCCGGAGGTGCCCATCGGCACCCGGCTGAGCTTCCGGCTGATCTACCCGGACACCAAAGGCGCGGCGATGAATCTGGGAGAGCACGGAAGGGGACGGTATCTGGCCAAGGAGATGGGGAGTGTGGTTGTTGCGCCGAGGGGGTATGATGATGACACTGATAGCAATGAGGGGGGGAAGGGGGAGGGAGGTGGACATGGCTCAAAGGCGAGGGCTGCTGCCGCCGGCGCATTCAGAATGAGCGGTGCGGATGCGGAGAAGACGTTGCAGGATTTTCGGTTCGTGATTGGCGATTATGTCGATTGTGCGATTGTGCCGCCGCTGGAGGATGGGTCGGTTGCGCCGCCGCCTCCTGTTGGTTCCGGGGGTGGCGGTGGTGGTGGCGGTGGGGGGATGAGGGCGTTTCCTCAGGGGGGGAGGGAGGAGAGGTCGTATTTTGGACGGGGAGGCGGGAGAGGGGGACGGGGGTTTGGCGGTGGGCTGAGGGAGAGGGAGAGGGAGAGGGACCGTGATCGAGAGAGGATTCCGCCGGGGGATTGGAGGCGCGGGGAGAGGTTGCCTGAGGGGGCCGGTGGTGGTAGACGGGAGAATGGCGGGAGGGAGAGGGATAGAGATGGGGGGAGGAGGGGGTGGATGCCTTATTAGTTGTTCAGTGGGTTTCCAGTGAAGGGTTGAGGTGGTAGTTTGGGTAGCTGGGATTGCAGGCGTGTACGATAGTGAGGGTTGAGGGGAGTGGAATGGATTATACCTCGTTTCTAACGGCTATGGAATTGACTGCCTGTCCGGTTTAAATGCTCTGAGATAGAGCAGATGGATCCTGCATCTTAGATGCTTTCATATACTGTACCTACTCACCGATCCCAACTACTATCAGCCACCAGTACACCCCGAGCACGACAAATTCCGTCCCCAATAAAACAACGAAACGAAATCAATTGCACCGCGGTATAATAGATACAACCCAGCCCCCATCCTTCTGCCCTACTATCTCTTCCCACCAGATCATCACCCCTCTACCACTCCACAATCGTATCTCCCTTGCGCTTGCCGCGCAAATCGTATTTGCCCTGTCGTCCTTAATTAGCCACTCCCCTCACCACCCCCTATCAGAAAACCACATACCTCAGTGTTATACGCCACATAGCCCAGCGCCCCCGGGATCAGAGCCATGTACAGGAAAGAGAACCAGGCATGGCGCGGCGTCCACCGGAAGTACTTGTACCGGTTGGCGGTGAGGTCTGCTTGTCATTAGCATGCCCCCGTAAATGTAGCTTGTCGATTCGAGCTTGTCGTTCCACTGAATGGAAGCGGGTGCTATTTCTTCTGGGGGGAAAGGTTTCACGGACCGTAGTATTTCTGGAGGGCCGGGTCGAGAATCAAAGCTGTGGGATAAAGTTAGTTATCTTGTAGCAGTGATAAAGGGGGCAGGCGAGGACGTACACTTGCTGGGGCCGGCCATGGTGGCGGATGTGGATGTGGATGTGAATGTGAATGGGCTGGAGAAGGTCACGGCTTGTGCTGCTGCTGCTGTCGCTGCACTGATGGTGATGTCGCGGGTGAGGGAACGACGTTGCGGGTCATGTGATGGGTGCGTGCACAGCTGTGCTGCTTAGTCAGTCACTATGCTGCACTGTGCTGTGTACTGCTGAGTCAGCAGTTCTATGAGGATGCACAGGCTGCAGGGATTATTTACTTACTAGATCCTTCGCAGCTCACCCACTCCTCATTTCAAGGAATAAAGGTGCAGCACACTAAGCAGCAGCATGTGAAAGACCCCTCGCCAAAAAAAAACATTCGCCGATCTCATCATCCCCGAAAATTGGGGAAAGACTGTCCCAAAGACTGGAACAAAGAACACAACGGCAACCCCACCGCCATGACGCAGTATCACAGGTTCTACGCCTACATCCGAGGTTCCTTTCACCAGCGTCCGAGCCTTAAATGATAACACCCCTTTTCCCTTGCACATCCAATCGCTTCTACACCCACCACACCGTGACAAACTCCAGAACAGAACGCAAAATGACCGACCCCAACAAAGGCGCCAAAATCACCCTCTACTGGTATGCTCCCCTCATCGCCCCGCACCGCACCGCATCGCACCGCAACTAATCCCCCGGAATCAAGGCTCGCGCAATCCCGCTCCCACCGCATCCTCTGGCTCCTCGAAGCGCTGCACCTCACCTACGAGCTGAAGATTTACCACCGCGGCGCCGACAAGCTCGCGCCCCGCGAGCTGAAGGAGATCCACCCGCTGGGCAAATCCCCGGTGCTCACCGTGCAGCCCGCGGCCGCCGCCGTCTCCGGGCAAGAAGGCGATGGCAACTCCAAAAAGCCCATCGTGCTGGCCGAATCCGGCCTGATCATCGAATACCTCCTCGACCACTACGGCGCCAACGCCGACGCCCCGCTGATCCCGGAGCGGTATGCCGCTGCTGCAACCGAAACAGTCGGCGGCGAGACTGACTCGTGGCTGCGGTATCGGTACTACATGCACTACGCGGAGGGCTCGCTGATGCCGTTTCTGGTCATGCAGTTGGTGATGGATAGTGCGTGCCCCCTTCCCCCTCCCCCTTGGATCGAAGATACTGGGGGGAGTTTTGTTCTGAATGCTAATTTGCGGCCGTGGAACAGCCGTCAAAAACCCGCCCATCCCGTTCTTCCTCAAACCCCTGCCGCGGGTGGTGGCCGGGCAGGTGGAGAAGGCGTTTCTGAATCGCAATATCGCCGCGCATCTGGATTTTCTGGAGGAGCAGCTGCGCACGAGTCCCGGGGGTGGGCCGTACCTGTGTGGGACGGCGCTGACGGCGGCGGATATCATGATGAGTTTTCCGGTGATTGCGATGGCGGGCCGGCTGTCGATGGAGGGGTATCCGGAGTTGAGTCGGTATGCGGAGTTGTTGCAGAAGGAGGCGGGGTATGTGGCGGCTTGTCGGAAGATTGAGGAGGTGGATGGGAAGTTTGAGGCGTCTCTTTAGGTCTTTGCCTCTCTAGGTCTAGGTGTTGAGCGTGATGAAGTGGTTGTATGTATGTATTTCAGGATCTTAATGTAATGTCTGTCATTCCACTGCATTCCTTTTTTAGAGAATACTATGTATAGGGTAGTATAGTACACCGAAACATATACCCCTGCCAGCGCCCTCTCTAGCTATATACAGCACAGCACGATCAACGCATGCCCCTACCCCTAACTTACTTATACTCTAATATATAACCCCTGCAGCCAAACAAGGCAAGCAAGCAAGCAAGAAACCCTACAGCTTAAACTTCCTCGCAATCTCCTCCTCACTGAACCGCCGCGTCTTCCGGCGCAACATCTCCGCCTTCTCCTCCAGCGTCATCCCGACCTGCTCCCCCATGGGCACCAGACACTTGGCCAGATGCAGGTAATCCTTCCGGAGGAGGCGGATGGTGATCATGATGTAGTCAATGTTCCGGAAGACGAGGGCCTGCTCGGCGGCGTAGCGGCGGTGCTGGCGCAGGAAGGCGACGGGGTGGTCGCGCCAGTGGCGGCGGGGGTTGAGGTGGTGCGAGGTGTGGTAGCCGTCGTTGTAGCAGAAGCGGTTGCTCTGCCGTCCGTTAGTATGCGTATCGGTAGGAGGTTGCGCAGCCCTCCCTCCCTCTCTCTATGGAGGAACACGTACAGCCACATCAATCAAGGTAATACTACTCCGAAAGTCCGAATCCGGGTCGATCTCATCGACCAGGGCATGCTGGCCCCAATTGCCGACCATCAAGCCCACCCGCAACTGCAACACGGGCAGCAGCAGCACGAACAGCGTCGGGCGCCACCCGCCCCACCGCCACGCCGCGGCGATCATGGCGTACGTGCCCAGCTCCCACAGTCCGGCCTTGGCCGCGTTGGCCAGCTGCCCGCGCCGCAGGAAGTAGGCGGGCAGCTCCACCCACACCAGGAAGTAGAACCGGGCCACGTAGCAGGCGAAATCCCGGGGGGAGTCGCGCTGGTACCGCAGGGTGCTGGAGAGGTCGCGCGGCCCGTTGCCCTCGACGTGGTGGTGTTTGACGTGGTGGTAGAAGTAGGAGTTCCAGGTGTGGCCCATGAGCGGGTCGAGGAGGTAGGGGAACACGGTGTCGAAGAGCACCGCGAGCGGGTGCGCGCGGGTCAGGATCCCGCCCATGTGGATGTGCTGGTGCATCATCAGGGTGTAGGTGCCCACGTAGTAGGACTGCATGAGCCAGTGCACGAGGCCGTGCCACCAGTGGAATGTTCCGAAGAACAGGTACAAGGCGCTGGGGATGGAGGTCGTAAAGTACAGCAGCAGGTGGGTCAGCATCACCACGTCGGTTTCGACCCGCACCAGGGACCGCGCGGCGCGGATGTACGGCTGCAGGAGGCACTCGTTCAGAAGGGTGGGGAGTGAAATGGTGAGCTGCGGCAGGTCCCAGGTTACGAAGACGGTGGGCGTGAAGCTGCTGCTGGAGGGGCTGTTGAGGGCTGCGAGGTGCGTGATGGTTGCTTGGGTTTCTGAGTCAACCTCTTCTTCTTCATGCCCTGTTGCGCCGTTGGCGCTGTTGCCATTGTCATTGCCAATCACGTTTGCTGTACCCGAATTTAGCTGGGGATCATTTGCTGGGGGATTCCAATGGGGAGTTACGGTTTTTCTTCCCGGCGGCTGTGGCTGTGGCTGCGGCCGCGGCCGGGGCTTCCGCTTCCTTGAGCAGATGCTCCAGGACCAACCGGTCGGGGACCGTCAGGTTGGGGTCTATAAAGGTGGCTGGATCCATGCTGCTGTTCTGGAGCTGTGGGAAAAGCGGGAAAATGAGCCAGCCTGGAAGGACACAAGCTTTAGGTTGGATTAAGACCCCCGGGGGGGGGCTGATAAAAAGGGGGGAAGATTGTCGAGTGGATCAGCCGATCCTTGGCATGTCAGATCGGTGGAGTGGAGCCGGCTGGAGCTGGCTGGAGCTGGCTGGATAGAGGGGACTATAACTCGGGAAGCTATAGATGGGAAGTGCGGAGGATGTGCAATTCAGCAAGCAAGAGAGTATAAGTCGAAGCTAGCACCATTCGACTCATGGGCAATGTCATGGCAGGCATATCATGCTGATTCCTTCGGTCGGATCCAGCGTGGTGGGCATCAGCTCATCAGATGATCCCAGCAACCCTAATTTCATTGCGATTCCGGGGATTCTCAACCCGACTGCAGCTGCGGACCTGACGCAAAGATAAGCAGACCAGATTCGATCTGCAATGGAACGTAGCTCCATGCACGGTTAAGCTTAAACCGGTGTAACCCCGATTATGCCGAGCAAAGCCAGGGACCGGTGATTGAGATGACTGGGATGGACGACGTCATTACTTCCCCTCTTGTACTTCTGTACCACTAAGTGACTGACTGGTACCACCTCAGCCCACAAGGTACAGACAGTACTTCTGCCCTGTACCGTACCTTATAACAAGGTAAACTTCCCCCTTCCCCTCAACCCCTCCCCGCATTTTACACCCACACCTCACCTCACACAACACCAATCCCCTCAACCTCAACTTCACCCTCACCCTCACCCTCACCACCCCCAAAATGAATCTCACCCTCTTCTCCACCAAATCCTACGACACCCACTACTTCACCACCACCCTCACCAGCCTGCAACCCACCCTCCCCGAACCCATCACCCTAACCGCGCACCCCTTCCCGCTCACCCTCTCCACGGTGCCCCTTGCGCGCAACAGCACCGCCATCTGCGTCTTCGTCAACGACAGCCTCCCGGCCGCGGTCCTCCAAGCCCTCTGGGACATCGGGGTGCGGGCGATCCTGCTCCGGTGCGCGGGGTTCAACAACATCGACCTCCCGACGGCGGAAGCGCTCGGCTTCTTCGTGGCCAACGTGCCGTCGTACTCGCCCGAGGCGGTGGCCGAGTTCGCGGTCGCGCTGCTGCAGACGCTGAACCGCAAGACGCACCGGGCGTACAACCGGGTGCGGGAGGGGAACTTCAACCTGGAGGGGTTCCTGGGGATGACGCTGCACGGCAAGACGGTCGGGGTGGTGGGGCTGGGGCGGATCGGGATGGCGTTTGCGCGGATCATGCGCGGCTTCGGGTGCGAGGTGGTGGGGTTCGATCCGGTGCGGCAGCAGCAGCAGCAGCAGCAGCTGGAGGGAGCAGGTGGAAAGGATGGGAATGTGGAAGACAAAGACGAAGACGAATTCACCACCCAATTGGCAGGCCGGTACGTCGCCACCGTCGCGGACCTGCTCGCGCGGTCCGACATCGTCAGTCTGCACTGCCCGCTCACCGAGGCCACGAAGCACATCATCAACGCCGCGTCGCTGCGCGGGCTCAAGCGCGGCGCCATCCTGGTCAACACCTCGCGCGGCGGGCTGATCCACACGCGCGACGCGATCGGGGCGCTCAAGGCCGGCACGCTGGGCGGGCTGGCGCTGGACGTGTACGAGCAGGAGGGCGATCTGTTCTACAATGACCACTCCGCCGAGATCATTCATGACGACACGCTGATGCGGCTGATGACCTTCCCCAATGTGCTGGTCGCCGGCCACCAGGCCTTCTTCACGCAGGAGGCCCTGGGCGAGATCGCGCAGGTGACGCTGTCCAACCTGGCGGATTTTGTGGGCAGGCGGCCGTGTCGGAATTCGTTGGTGCGCGAGGGTCATTTGTTTGTGGAGGGGGATAAGCAACCTGTGCGGTTGTAGGTGCCGGGGTGTTGGGGGTGGTGATGGTTTCGGTGGTGGACGTTGTCTGCTTGGGATATGAGTTTGGTTTCACGGCAGTCTCTCGTGACGAATTAGTCCGATGTGAACATCATCTAGTGTTAAGGCTCGTCCTGTATACGTCCGAGAGACTGATGGAAGGCGAAATGTTACTGATTACAGCCGTCGTGAATGCTTCAACAAGCGTTGCAGGATCACCTTTCCTGATACCTGTTTCCACATTGCCTGGCGGAGTCAGCCACACAATCTTCTAGCAGAGGAAGAACCAGGCAGCTTGTAGCATCATAATCAATTTCATCGCGAAATTACACGAGCTGGTCAGGGACGTTGGATACGGTGGATGCTCTACTCGTGCCAATTTGCAATAGCCCCTGATTCTGCTGTCAGTGCCCTTTGTGCCTTATCAGTCACCTCTTGAAGCAAGCCGCTGTAGATGTGAAATATCTTTGTAAGCTACCCTGCTTCAGTAAAGTTATATTGACACGAGCCTTACTAGGATTGTTAAAGCTATCAAGGTCCCAGATTATCTTAAGCCGGAAATATCGCTAATCGAGCTCGCTACTGAAGAGCACTGTATATGCTCTCTTATATTAGAGTAAGTCGATCTAAAGCAGTCCGTCGAGAGTTATGTAAAGCTTTCGAGTACAGAGGTGCTAGGAGAACTGGGTGGTCGCAATATGGCACGAGTACTTTGCTGTACATTCCCATTTATGTGATCGCTGACGCTCATCTCGCCTATGAGACCACGAAGGTTGTTTGTGAGTTCGAAGGGTGTAAGTGATCGGCCTTCGGAGCTACTGCCTCGACCAGTATGTGTACCCCTCCGTCGGGCCAGCCCTGCAGCCGGACTACTTACAGCGAACCACAGCTAGGCCCGCACAGAGCAGAGCTCCTAAAGCTCGTCGTGCATGCGCGCGAGGTCCTGGAGCCATTCCTCGAACGCCGTGATATTGTATCTCGGATCGACGATATGCATCTTCGCTCGCCGCGCAGCCCCCACGGCCCCCACCCAGAATGGGTCCACCTGATCCCGGACAAGGGGCCTCCGATCCTCCGGGATGGCCAGTTGTAGAGCTTGTTTGAGGGTGTCAATGGCTGCCTCCGATGCGTCTCCGCTGATGATGATCGCCCGAAGATACTGTGCGTCACCCGGCCCGAGGATCTGTTCTTGGATAAAGCCGTCAAGGATGCGACGGAGATCCTCCACCGTGTCCTGTTGCTAGCGACAACGTACCAGAGTTAGCCAAGGCTTTCCTCATATCTTTGATCCAAAAGGAGCCGTAGACTCCTCTACTAGCCTGGTAGCGGGGCCAAACTCACCTTTTGAGCACCCTCATCGTCCTCCTCCTTCCCGCCCGCCATCACCACCACCACAAACTCCCCATGCCGCCCTCGTTGGTACAGCTCACTATCATCCGTGTCAACGTCGGTTTCACCGACCAGCCCGGCATACAGATTCAACCTTCCATCCAGCCCATAATCCACAAACAGAATCACCGCCGTCTCATCCATCAGATCGCAGTCGGCCGCCTCGCTGATCCCCAGAGCCCGGCACGTATCTAGCCCGTACGCCAACCGGGCGGTGTGCAGGAACTCACGGAACTCCCACTCGTATTTCACGGCCGTGGCGTTGGATGCAATGATCGTGGCCGTGAGGTCGCGGTGCGGTCCTAAGCCGATATCCCGTGGGAGGCTGATCGCCGTGATGTTGACCGGGTAGTCCAGGAGCTGCGTGGCTTGATCTTTCACGTCTTGAAGGAGATGACCGATCATTGACGCGTCGTCCAGGGTGTGTGCAGATTGTGAAATCTGTAGGGCATGGTTCCTGTCGTCAGCAAAGCAGGAGAGGGTCGGGTGGTTCAGTCAGGGTTGGTGGTGTATCCCGCGGGGTGGGGAGGGAACCCCACCTGCTCTCCCTGCAACCTTCGTGCAATTGCTGCATGTAATACTGGTATGCTGGAGGGGCGAAAAGCTTGACCAAAGGGACGGCTTCGTCGTTTCCATTGATATAGGCGGCTATTCTGCAGAAGGAGATGTGAGCAAGGGTATAGATGAACGAAGATCGGGGGAGGGAAAACTGAAAATGGATGGATACATATATCTCTGGCTAAGGTGGACGCCCAGAGCTGCAGTTCGACCAATAGAGTCAGTGGGTATATTATCATTGGTAAACACAAGAACAGTTATGAGGGCAGACTCACAGTATCCTCCAAATCCCATGACACATTTTGGAAGATACAGAAGGTGAAACCATACGGTAAGTAGTATAATTGTCCGAAGCATGTTGATAGGTGGAATGTTCTGTTGTGATTATAGAAGAGGGAGAGAGAGAGAGAGAGAGAGAGAGAGAGAGAGAGAGAGAGAGAGAGAGAGAGAGTGTGTGTGTGTGTGTGTGTGTGTGTGTGTGTGTGTGTGGGATTGAGTGTGAGGGAACAGCTACAGTGCGGTAGAGATCGAGAAGAAATACTTTTCCTGCGGCTCTTTGTTTGCACTCACTTGTACTTGTGCAACATTCACCTCCTCCCCCTATCCCCCTTATATCAATTTGGACTTAGCCCCCCCCCCCCAGTTTGCACACGCAGAGGACGACGATTTGAAACATGGGGAAGCACAAACGCGGGTGTAGCGTCGAGCATCGGAATCGTGATACCAACCTTTGGAATCCCAACCAGGCCCATTGTCAATAATGGTCGACGATGTTCACGAGACCTGGAGCAAACAATTGAGTGGGGGCGGGCAATTGGCTCGAGGGCCCGGACAGATGCATCCAGGGCTCAAGGGCTGCCTTGAGCTATTGCCAATTGTCCTACTCATCTCTACAAAGGGTAAATGGACAGAGGAATAGACGGTGGAGGGGATGACAATGATGGCTGTGAATGCTGATGGCATACTTGCCCCCAGCATAGGCATAAATAACAGAGCAAAATCCAGCTTCACTCGGGGTTTCCGCCTCTTCGATCCAAACGATCAAGGCGAGTCCAGCACTGTGTCACGATGTACGAAAGACGTCTTTTTCTATGCTTGTTTCTGTTACCCTTTTCCTTCTGCTCCCCGGTCGAGAATGCCGCCCGTGAGGATGTTCTTGCCAAAGCGACAAAGAATTACCAGGGAATCAATTAGGATCTTGCAGCCAACGACTGCGGAGGATCCAGGTTCAACACCCTGGTGGAAGCCACTCGGATGGCCATCCAGCTCACCGAACGCCCAAGCCAACCGGTGAGTACGCCGGGGTGGAACCGCTTCTTCCTCTCCGACAAGCATATCGAGAAAAGGGAAGGCTGGATTGTAGGTGCTCCTTCCAAACCCAGTGTCCATGCGCCTCCTGCTCAAGCAGCACCGTAAGCTGATGGAAATGAACAACATTAGGGGCAAGGCACTCATTATGCGAAAGTGCTGGGTAGGTCCCCAATCTCCTTGTTCCGGTGGCCAAAAGAACTCATCGCGCTTTCAGGAATCATGGATTCGTTTTATCAGTTCCCAAGTAAGGGGAAGGATAGGAATCCCGACAAAAGAATTATGTATCGCTGTGACGGTCAGTCGGAGATATGCAGACAGCTCCCAAATGCCGCGTAAGTGCAGTGCAGTGTGTAGTGCAGGGCTTGCAACATGATACCCACTTCGAAACTCTTGCTGACGCTTTTTGTTTCTTTGTTTTGACGCACCTATCTAGAGCAGTCACCGCCATACCCTCAAGAGGCAAGAGTGGTCAGTGAACCCTTCTGGCTTCTAGTCGACAGTGTTATCCATGCCCTCTTATCCATCGATACTGAGAATTGACACGTCTCGGGAAATGGGAGATACACTTCTGCGATCAATTCTGGGCCGTTGGTCACCTCAAAGACAAACGCCGAAAGAACTCCCCGCAGGACTTAGAGACTCTGAAAAGTTTCGAACATGTCATCGCCCACGAGCTTCTGCACTGTGGTGTTGTGACAGGTAGCAGTCAGAGGGCTATTGATAAGAAAGCCACCCTTCCAAGCTAGCCAACAGAAGTGGTACGTACCTTACCGGTGGTCATGGCTGTTCAAAATCGTTGCCAGCAGAGGACACTGATCCAGACGAACAGGACGTATACGGAGCCAGTCGGTGTTCCGAGTACGCGTGGCTGTATGCAGATAAGAAGAAGGCCAATTTCATAGTCAAGGAAAATGGTAAGTCCTGAGTCGTCTGAGAGGAACATAGCTAATCGACGTGCTAGCGGATAAATATGCCTGGTTCTTTACCAACAATTGGTTCAACAAGCAATGGAACTGGCATGACGATGGGGAAGGGCGATGAAGCCAGTATTGGTGGTGGCGAGGTGAGGAGGTCACCTGCTATCTAGGTACGCTTATTAAGGGACTACAGCGAGCTCCCACGGTCAAGTGGGAGCAGGGCATCTTGTGGAATGGGCCGGCCTGTTGAAGAAATGGATCGAGCTGTGGGTTCCCTGTAGCCAGCTGGGCCGTAAGCCTGGCCCAGGGTCAACGGGGTATACTGCATAGCGCGATTCGCTTACATCGACCATCTTACTTGTATGAATCCGTATACGACTTTGTGTATGAGTTCTTGCTTTATAGACTGTCTCACTCACTGGACTCATGTTGTTCGTATAGATTCTTATATAATTCCTCATCAAGTTGAAAACTTGCTTAGACATTCTATTACTGGTGAAAATATACTACTTGTGGGAGAGCACTACCACTGCCATCACGGATATCAACTATACCCCCACACGGTCAATAGACACAGTGAACAGAGATTCTAATCCTTACCCCTCTAGCCTTCCGTCTCTCCTGGAATTGACCCAATCCTCGTCCAAGAATAGATTGTGTGGTTAGCTGATGATGGTGCCTGGCAAAGGGAAATATATGGCAGAATATCGGAACTAGTGCCAATGGTGAACGGATAACCAACGACTAATTTCACACACCAAAGCACTAGGATATTTACAAGGCCAATTAGCACTAGAAAACAAAAACGAGACGTGTACCGACAGAATCGACAAACAAAGAAAGAGATAGAATGCATCCCCAGAGCCAAAAGAGAAAGCAAAAAACGACAGCAGTCGGATTTGAACCGACGCCTCCGAAGAGAATAGATTTCTAGTCTATCGCCTTAGACCGCTCGGCCATACTGTCTTATCTGGTATGATACTACGTCAGTATAGTCCATGTACAAAAATGTGGAAGTAGTGCAGTTATCGTGACTCGCCTAACTATAGTTCACGCTCGTCGAGTGACTCTAATATTGACACCGTGTAGCAACTACAGAATAAGCCACGACAATTGTCAACAATAAAAGAAGCAGCCTCAGACCCACCGACAAGACCCCCATCCTCTAGCGGCAGCAAATCCAGCCATCATGCTCACAACTGAGAAGTCTAAACCCACCCACCCAAGACCACAAGCCAGATCCCAACCAACCCCATACACCACCTCAAAAAACCCCTACACCAACCACCAGAATACTCACCCCAAGCTAAATCCCGTTCCCGCATCGTAACCTCACACCAACACCTCCAGCCCCCTCGCCACCGCCAGCAGCAGCCCCGGATGCAGCAGCAGCAGCAGCAGCAGCAGCACCCCCTCCGGCCCCGACCTGTCCAAAACCCCCCAAAGTTGCCAGCGAGGAGATCCACCACCGTGTCCAGGACCGCCGTGCCCCTCCGCAGGAACGGAGACAGCTGCCCCGATACTACTTGTCCAGGAGATCCGGGAACCCCCCCCCCGTTCATATTCGTGCCGAAGCAATAGGTTTTGAAGAGGGTTGACTGGGGGTGATGTGCAGCACGTTGAGCCCGCTTTCTAATGCCGCTGCCGCTTTGAAGAACGAGGACTGTGGGCAGACGATCGCGCGGTAGACTTGGAAGGTGTGGCCCGGCAGGAGATTGTCAGACCGGGGTGTTCGCCCGCCCTTGTCGACGAGGAACTCCATCATCCTTGATAGAGGCGTGGATGGCTCAGTTGGTCTGTTGGATTGGGAGTTGAGGAACGAGGCTTTTAGACGCGGATGCAGATGCAGATTGTTGAGGGGCGAGACCATCAGGCAGAGCCGCCGGCGGCTGATGCGGGGGCACGCTGCATGGGAATGGCGGTGCGGTATCCGTGGGAGGTCAACATGGACTCAGTCGCTGGGCAGCTGGAATAGCACGCCTTAGCTTGGGAGTCGGTGGGCTCGCACTGCACCAGGCATCCGTGATGATCATTAGGGCTTCCGTTGCCGCATGGTGGAAGAAGGCCACTGACAGACATATCAACTTCTATCAAGAGCATCCTGTACATCCAAGACATCGCTCTCGTCCCCTCTTGATGCATAGAACAGACACATTTATATTCCCGACCCAAGAACAACAGAAAGAAAAAAAAATAACAATCCATGTCATCTATCATAATCATCATCATCGTCATGATCACCAGATATAATATATGCCCCTCCCACCAACCCCAACCCCTATGTTCATCTCCCCTCTCCCTCTCCCTCATCCTCCCCAATCATCCCAACCAACTCCTCATACTCGCCCGTATTCCTCAACATATTCCAAAACACCCCTTGCTTGGCTACGAGATTACGCGGCGAATCGTTCCTAAAGGATGCTGTATTAGCCAGGCCTCCACCATCGAAACCATACCAAACTAGAAATGAAAGGGCAAAAACATACTCAACAATCTCCCCACCAGCCATAACCAACACGCGATCGTAATCCATGATCGTCCGCAGCCGATGCGCGATCGCGATGATCGTGCAGTCCGAGAACATCTCGCGCAGCACCTGTTGCATGTGCATGTCCGTCTCGTGGTCGACGGAGGCCGTCGCCTCGTCGAGGAGCACGACCTTCGAGCGCCGGCAGAGGGCGCGCGAGAGGCTCAGCACCTGGCGCTGGCCCTGGCTGAAGTTCTCGCCGTTGGCGGCGACGGGGGTGTCGAGGGTGAGGGGGCGGCGGTTCGGTCTACTGGGGATATCCTCTTCGGTTGACGGGGCAGGGGGCGCATGCACGTGGTCAGGCACAGAGACGGGGACGTGAATCGAGGAGGTGCAAGCCGATAAAGCAGACTGGAGTTCGGATTCGCTGGACTCGCCGAAGGGGTCCAGGTTCGACTGGACGGTCCCGGAGAAGAGGACGGGTTCCTGCGGGATCAGGGTGACGCTGGTGCGGAGACGGTTCAGTAGGATCCGACTGATGTCGACCCCATCGATGGTGATGGTGCCGCCGACGAGGTCGACGAACCGCAGCAGGGACAGTCCCAGGGTACTCTTGCCGCTTCCAGTGCGGCCGACGATGCCGATGCGTTCGCCCGGGTGGGCGACGAAGGAGACCCCGCGGAGCACGTCGGGCCCGTCGGGCTGGTAGCGCGCGGTGACGTTGGAGAACTCCACGCGGCCGGAGGTGGGCCAGCTGGCGGGGAGGGTGGTCAGCGCCTTGTGGTGCTCTTCCTTGGTGAGACTCTCCTCGGGCTCGATCTCGGCGTATTCCTTCATGCGCTGGAAGGAGTTGAGCTCGATTTCCAGCTCGTTCATGGTCCGGACCAAGGTGAGGATCGTCTGGCTGAGGCCGATGGCGTTGGTCAGTGAGAAGCCCACGAGGCCGGCCGAGCCAGACCAGAAGTAGGCGACGCAGCCGGCTGCGGCTGAGACAGAGGCCGCGCAGAAGTCGGACCGGACGGAAACCCAGCGATTGCAGTTGTACTGCGCCTCGGCGGTGCGCGAGTGAACGGCTAGCTTTTCTGCGAGCATGGCCTGGAAGACTCGGTCCATACCAGTACGGGCACGGATCACGCTCAGACCAGAGATGGAGTCGGTGAAGTGTGAGAAAACAGGAGAGTAACTGATGGAGCGAAGCCGCTTGATGGACACCTGGGCACGCGTGTACATCTCGCCCATGATGAAGCCCGCGGAGCAGATGATCGCGGCGGGGAGTGCGAAAATCGGCATGATGGAAGCGACGCTTGCAATGCGAAGCAAGAACCGCAGTGCGTTCTCGATGGACATCCGCAGCCACTCGACCAGAATCGTGTCCATCGACCGGGTGTCGTTTCCGAATCGATTAATGGCTCGTCCAATCGGGTTCTGATCAAACCAAGAAATGGGTGCTGAAAGCACGGCGGTCACTAGCCTCTGATGCATGGTCTTGGCGGCCACCCAGCTGCCATACTGGTATATAAGATTGTTGCAGACCTGCAAGAAGAGGAAAGTAAAGATAGCGGCCGCATAGATCCCCAGGTAGAACAGAGTGTCGACATGTTCCTGTTCCTCGTACGCCCCTGTCCAGATTGAGAGCCAGTAGGTGATGGAAAAGTAGGCAAATTGGACCGAGATAGTTGCCAGAATGACAAGAGGGGCGTAGCCGACGCTGCCAAACAGACGCATATAGCTGAACACTAGATAAGCAGGTCAGCAAGGCTAGTTTGTGGTAAAATAATACCGTAAGCTTACTTAGTGTGCGCGGGACACGACCAGTGGAAGATGTTTCTTCAACAATTCTTCCTTGCGCAGTCTTCTGTTCTGCTACAGGAGGAACAGGAGGCACCGGAAGATCCGCCGAGTTCAAGGGTTGCTCTACCACCGGCTCGTCCCCAACTGGTATCAAATCTGTTTCACTGCCAGGCGTGCTGCAGCCTGACGGCGACGCAAGGACCGGCGTGAGCGTCCTCGGAAGCGCTTGTACGGGGACCAGCTTGCCATGTCCAAGGCGAACAATGGACTCTGCATCTTGCAGAGCAGCGGGGTAGTGAGTGACCAGAACGACGGTCCTATCTTTAAGCAATCCACTGCGGAAAGACTTCTCGTACACGAGACTAGCAGTGTGGGTATCAAGGGCGGAGAAGATATCATCCAGCAGTAATGTCGAGGATGACGAATACAAGGCCCGGGCAAAAGACACTCGTTGCTTCTGACCCCCGGATAGAGATGTACCCTTCTCTCCTACACGGGTCATGTCACCGGCGGGGAGCTGTCTCAGATCCTGCGCCAGGCCACTTGCCTCAATAACCGTGGCATACCTAGTCTCGTCGAATGGACTGTAGAAAACGATGTTCTGACGGATCGTATCGTTCTGGAGCCAAGGAGCTTGTGGAACATATGCAACGTCCTGGGGACAGTATGCAGTGCCTGACTCCAGGACGGTCTCGCCCAGACAAGAGAGCAGCAGAGTCGTCTTCCCACTTCCCGTAGGGCCGGTTACGACGTTGAGCGAATTCGGCTTGAACCTGATGGTCACATCCTGCAGCCTGAAAGCGGCGACAGGCGATGGTTTGAAAGTCGCATTGATCAAT